AGTTGAGAACCACTGGCCTAGTGAGAGGAACAGTAAGGTGTGTGTGTATGCACGTGTGTGTGCATGGGTTAGAGAAACGTACCTCAGATGTAGCTGAGGAAAGCGGTTAGCAACAGTGCTGAATTTTCAAATGAAAAACCTCACTCTGGTGTAGGAATTTGTCATGTAAACAAAAATGCATAAAACTGTGCTCACTTCGGCAGCACATATACTAAAATTGGAACTATACAGAGAAGATTGGCATGGCCCCTGCGCAAGGATGACACGCAAATTCGTGAAGCATTCCATATTTAAAAAAAAAATGCATAAAACTAAGAGGCCTGAAGCTTCAGTGGTTAAAAGGTGTTACTCCCAGGAAAAGCCAAGCAGTCTGGGTCAGCGCCTCTCCACTGGTTTTGTGCGTTGGGAAGGACTCAGGGCTTACATGCTTTGCGGACCTGATTTAGTTTCATTTGGAGATCTAAAATGCTGGCTTTAGTCTATCTCACTGCTGCTTCCACATAGTTCACCATTCCCCCTTCCAGGACAAAGCTTGGGATTCTGTGTTGTTCCGTCTTGTACCTTGTATATTTTCTCCAAGAGGTGGATCATTTTCAACTGTTGCTGTGGCTCAGAGTGTGGGGAGAAGAGCTGATGAACCCGTTTACTCATCTGTTCCAGATGATGTCATCTGACTACTGAACATCCAGACAGCCCTCTGCATTGTGACCACACGGCCCTCCCCTCCCGGGGGTTGGTGGAGTGCAGGGGCTCCGCACACACAGGTGGGCTGGTGTTCAGCAGGCTTTCCCAACGAAGGCCCCACCGGTATCTCACCATGGCCCAGAGGAGCAATGAGGCTCTCCAGGCTGTATTCTAGATTATTCCCTCATTAAACCAGGATTGACCTTAGCCAAAGAATGTTCCCAGTTTAGCTACATTTACACTGCTACATTTTTTGGAAATGCTATGTGAGGTATTGTCCTCACAGTAGCCTGTATCCATGACATCTTAGCTAGATTGTCCATGACCTGTTTAGCTAGATTGTCTCCACCCATAGATTTATTCAAGAATGCCTCAGTTAAAAGTCCTTACCGTAGCCGGGCAGTGGTGGCTCACGCCTTTAATCCCAGCATTTGGGAAGCAGAGGCAGGTGGGTCTCTGTGAGTTTGAGGACAGCCAGGGCCACACAGTGAAACCTTGTCTTGAAAACAAACAAACCAATTCCTTACCCTAAGGTTAGTTACTCCTTAGGAAGTGCCAGGGGAAAATTCAGTAGACATGGTCAAAAAGCCTTTACCGTGAAAAGTATTGGCTGTTTAATACTTCAGCTGTTTAGTTAGATACCTCCACCGGGGATTTGGGGGAGTGTAGAATGTTAGCTGGCTGATTTGCCTCGCATGCATGTGTGAAAATGACTCACGTTGCATTCAGCTTCACCTCAGCTCTTCTCTTGTTAGCCAAGAGCCCAGTGTCCTTGGAAACAGTAACCAAGGTTACTTATCTCCATGCGGTGCATTGTGTCAGGCGGCTTCTCCCACCACTTGAATGGCCGTTAATAAGCACTGCTCGGTTTGGGAGCTGTGCTTTGCCTTCCTGCTCCTGTGGGTTGGTGTGTGACCTGTGTCTGGACACGCTGGAGACAGAAGAGGCTCAAGACACGCTCGGATATTCTCTCTGCCTTCCTTTTCTGTCTCTGCTAGTTAGCATTCCATCTGGGATACACACATTTTTAAATTAACAGTTTGTGTTGCTGTGTACATATTTTGAGTGTTTGAGTTTTGCTTGTTTTTATTTTTGGTCATATTTCCTGTTTTTCTGGGTTGTTTTGTTTTTGTTTTTGTTTTTTTGAGACAGGGTTTCTCTGTGTAGTTTTGGTGCCTGTCCTGGATCTCACTCTGTAGACCAGGCTGGCCTCAAACTCATAGAGATCCTCCTGGCTCTGCCTCCTGAGTGCTGGGATTAAAGGCGTGCGCCACCACCGCCCGGCCTGTTTATCTATTTATGTGTCATCAAAAAGATTTCTTGAAAACAGAAATTGGAAATGCTTGCTTTGCACCAGGGGCTGCTCTGAGAATTCTCCTAAGTACCTTCGAGGTCAAACACCTTTTGTTAACAGTTAACGAATGGACTGTGACATTTCCGGACATTTGTCATAAACAAGGGGCCACTGGAGCCTGCTGTAGACATTCTGGCAGATGTCAGAATGCAGGGCGAGATGTATGTAGCCTGCGGTTTTATTTATTTATAATTCACCAAATAATATTGAAGAGCTCCCTCTTCCCAAAGTCAAACCCGGGAAACAGCTCATTGTTTGCTTTTTAAAAGCCACTTTACAAATACCTTTCTAACAAAGTAGCATTAGAAATATTGTACTTAGTTTCATTCTTTCTGTATTGAATATAGTGTAAGTGACTTAAAGAGCATCCCCTTGTGACCTCTCATGTGATAGCTGTGGCTGAGCTAACCTGATGAATGTCGCCAGCCCGTGAAACAGCTGTCTTGTGTGTGATGTGGAATGTGGTCCTGTATGTTAAAGGACGGTGTGCAGCCTTTCCCTCTGTCCACATTTTAATAAACAACCACTCTAACTGCTGTGTTTATGCACTGTAGAACTGGGTGTCTAAATCTACTCAGGCTCCTTCTGAAGCTGCCCCCTCTCTAACAGGAAACGCCCAGACTGCGGCCCTTCCCTTTGCTGGGTTAAGAGTCCACAGATGAGGTCACTAGAATGAACACAGAACACAGCACTCTGGGAGGCACTGGACTCCCAGGTGCTCAGGACACCTTGGTTACATCCCAGTGCTAATGTTTACCTGGATGCCTTTTGTGTGTGTGTGGGGGGGGGGGGAGTGTGTTCCTGTGTCTGTGTGTTCCTGCCGAAGGATGGCCTGGAGTGTCATTCCCCAGGTGGGGAGGGAGCCAGGAGCAGAGTGAGAAGGAGAGGGAGAGACTTTAGAAAAGGGGTAGCAGGTGGGGAGGGAGAGATGGCCTGGAACTTAAGCAGGCCTAGCTGGCTGGTTAGAAGGCTCCAGGGATCCTGCTGCGTCCCCTCCCCAGCACTGAGGTTACAAGTGTGTGCCACCACCCCTGGGGGCATTTCTTCTTTCTTTCTTTATTTTATTATTATTATTATTATTATTATTATTATTATTATTATTATTATTATTTTGGTTTTTCGAGACAGGGTTTCTCTGTGTAGCTTTGCGCCTTTCCTGGAACTCACTTGGTAGCCCAGTCTGGCCTCGAACTCACAGAGATCCACCTGCCTCTGCCTCCTGAGTGCTGGGATTAAAGGTGCGCGCCGCCACCGCCCGGCTTATTTCTTCTTTATTTTTTCCCTTTTATTGAAATTAAAATTTTTTTCTTACGTAATATATCCTGATAATGGTTTTCCCTCCCTCTACTCCTCCCAGTTCCTCCCCATCCCCCCCTCATCCAGATCTACTTCTTTTCTATCTCTCATTAAAAAACAAACATGCTTCTAAGGGAAAATAATAAAATATAATGAAATAAAGCAAAACTAACACATCAGAGTTGGACAAGACAAACAGAAGGAAAAAGAGCCCGAGAGAAGACACAAGAATCAGAGACCCACTCATTCGCACACTCAGGAATCCATAAAAACACTAAACAGGAAACCATAATATGTATGCAGAGGACCTGGTGCAGACATATGCAGGCTGTGCATGCTGCCTCATTCTCTGTGAGTTCGTATGAGCTTTGCTCATGTTGATGTAGAGGGCCTTGTTTTCTTGGTGTCCTCCATTCCCTCTGGGTCTTACACTCTTTCTGTCTCCTCTTCCATGGGGTTCCCTGAGCCCTCCCTAGGTCCCTGGGCTTTCCAGTTTCTTGGTCACCCAGTGTTGGGTATATGTTCCATCTTGTGCAGTGGGCCTTAATTCAATATTGGTGAATCCCATGAGCTTTGAGCCACCATCGCCCTAGCATATCGTGCAGGCAGGACACCATTGTAGATCAAAGGGTTTGTGGCTGGCTTGGTGTTATACTTCTCTTTTGATAGTGTACCATGTGCCTTCCTGTACCGAAGATGCTAGAACGTAAGGATGAAGGCTCTACATAGGCAACAACTGACTTCTCCACGTTGAGTGAGTGGTGTAGGTGGTGTCTTCAGCAATGGGGCCTTGCTGTCAGTTTGTGAAGAGCAACTTAGAGTCTTGGCAACAGCCTGGGTGGTTTGGGGATTCCCATGGGACTCTTCGGTCAACAAGCAATGACATTTAACCCAGTCCTGGTACTGGAAACTTGATCTGGTGACGAGAGCTGTCCAGTTGGGACTTCTTCTCCCCCCTTTTTTTGATGATTTCATTTAGATCGCTTTTATGTATGTGCCTATTTTAGGAAGTTTCTACTGTACTAGGTTTCCATATTACCCCTCAAATGGCCCTTAATTTTAGCTGTCTCTCCCCATATCTCCTCCCTCTGTTCCCCTGCCCCTACTTGGTTCTCCTGTTCTAGCCCTCCCATCCATCCATAACTATTGTATTTCCCTTTCTTAACTAGATCTCTTTGTACCCACTAGTCCCTTACTCTATGCCTAGCCTCTGTGGTTCTATGGACTGTAGCTTGATTATCATTGACTTAACAACTAATATCCACATATAAATGAATACTTACCATATTTGTCTTTCTGGGTCTGGGTTACCTCACTAAGGATGATCTTTTTCAAGTTCCATCCATTACCTGTGAATTTCTTTCTTTCTTTTTTTTTTTTCCCAGAGACAAGGTTTCTCTGTATAACAGCTCTAGCTGTCCTGGAACTCGCTTTGTAGACCCGTCTGGCCTCAAACTCACAGAGATTCACTTGCCTCTGTCTCCCAGGTGCTGGGATTAAAGGCCTGTGCCACCACTGCCTGGCCATTTTTTTTTAATGACTGAGTAATACTCCATTGTGCAAACGTACCACATTTTCTTTATCCAGTCTTCTGTTGAGGGACGTCTAGGTTGTTTCCAGTTTCTGGCTATTATGAGTAGAACAGCAATGAACATGGGTGAACAAATGCCTCAGTGGTAGGTTGACGTTGACGAGTCTTCTGGGTATATGCCCAAGAGCCAGCGCTTGGAGTAGAATGATTCCCATCTTCCTGAGAAACCACCACACTGAGTTCCACAGTGGCTGTACAATTTTGCACCCCCTCCAGCAAGAGATAAGCGTTCCCTTTACTCCACATCCTCCCCAGCATGAGCTGTCACTTGTTTTATTGATCTTAGCCATTCTGACAGGTGTAAGATGAAAATTTCAAAGCGGTTTTGATTTGCATTTCCTTGATGGCTGAGGATGTTGAACATTTCTTTACGTGTTTCTCAGCCTTTTTCAGGTTTCCTCTTTTGAGACTTCTCTGTTGTGGTGGTTTGAATAAGAGGACCCACATGGACTCATATATTTGAATGCTTAGTTGCCAGGAAACGCCACTATTTGACAGGATTGGAAGGATTAGGAGGTGTGGCCTTGTTGGAGGAAGTGTGTCACTGAGGGTGAGCTTTGAGATCTCACAAACCCAAGCCAGGCCCAGTAGATCTTCGCTTCTCCCTCTCTTCGCCTACAGATCAAGATGTAGCTCTTAGCCATTTCTCCAGTACCATGGTTGCCTGCTGCCGTCCTCCCTGCTGCCGTCCTCCCTGCTGCCGTCCTCCCTGCTGCCGTCCTCCCTGCTGCCGTCCTCCCTGCTGCCGTCCGTCCTCCCTGCTGCCGTCCGTCCTCCCTG